ACACAAATCGAGGTATGCCATACATCCGGGAAGTACAAAGATGTACCAGGACCTGAAAAGACAGTATTGGTGGAGAGGCATGAAAATGGACGTTCGTGAGTATGTCTCGGAATGTGTGACTTGCCTCCGGGTCAAAGCTGAGCACCAGAAGCCAGCGGAGGAGTTACAACCTCTTTCTGTCCCTGGATGGAAATGAGAGCACATCACCATGGATTTTCTGATGGGGCTACCGAGAACCGAGCTGAAGCACGATGCCATCTGGGTGGTGGTTGACAGGTTAACGAAGTCCGCGCACTTCATACCGTTTCGTGCAACGTATTCTCGGAAGATTCTGTCAGAACTGTACCTCGAGCACATCGTAAGGTTACACGGAGTGCCATTATCTATCACGTCAGATCGTGATACGCGTTTCAATGCAAGGTATTGGAGGAGTTTCTAAGAAGCCATGGGAACAGACTTGAACTTCAGCACAGCATTTCATCCTCAGACTGATGGGCAATCTGAAAGGGTAATTCAGATTCTGGAGGATATGCTTCGTGCTTGTATTCTGAAATTTGGTGGGAACTAGAAGAAATACCTGCATCTAGCTGAGTTTTCTTATAATAACAGCTATCAGGCCAGTATTGGAATGGCACCGTTTGAAGCTCTGTATGGTCGTCCTTGTAGGTCACCTGTGTGTTGGTTGGAACCATAGGATCGACTGAGCACTGGGCCGGAAGTCATTCAAGAGAATAATGAGAAGATAGCTGTGATTCGAGAACGACTGTTGACAGCTCAAAGTCGTCAGAAAAGTTATGCTGATAGAAGGCGTAGGCCTTTGGAATTCCAAGAATGCGACTTTGTTATGTTGAAGGTTTCCCTACGTAAGGGAGTTACTCGGTTTGGTGTGAAAGGGAAGCTTGCGCCAAGGTATATTGGACCATTCCCGATCGTGCAGCGAGTCGGTGTTGTGGCGTATCGTCTTGCCCTGCCGCCTGAATTATCTCATGTGCATGACGTGTTTCATGTCTCCATGCTTTGGAAATGTCAACCTGATCCGGAAGCTGTAGTGCAATGGTATGACGTTCTGATACAGGATGACACGACGTACGATGAGGTACCGGTCCAAATTATTGACCGGAAGATAAAGAGTCTGCGTCATCGTGAGATCCCCTTAGTGAAAGTGCTGTGGCAGCACCATGGTGTTGAGGAAGCAACATGAGAGCTTGAAACGACGATGCAGGAACGTTATCCGCATCTGTTTGCACTTTGAGGTGAGCTTTAATTTTGGGGACGAAATTGCCTAAGGGGGGTGGAGCTGTAACACCCTGAAGAATAGATTGAGATTAATTAAGGTAATTGAGATTATTAGTGTGCCTAATCTGATTTAATTAATTGAGTTAAATAATTCTAAGGTATTTAAATTATTCATAGTAATTTATTTAATCCAGAAGTGTGTATGGGCGCATTTCTGGACTGTTATATTTTACACATGTCATTTTCTTTTATTTTTCTTTTCTTTCCTTTTTTTTCCTTTTTCCTTTCTTTTCTTTCCTTTTCTTTTTCTTTCCCGTGCGTTTCTTTCTCTCTCTCTCTCACACTTCCGTGCTCTCTCTCTCTCCCATTTGTGTCTCAAATCAAAACCGGATTCGAACCAAGAGTGATTTCAAAGAGTTTTCAACGTCAAGAGAAGGATTCAAGGTAAGATTACTGAAAGAACCTCTCTTGAATCTATGTTTTTCGGATTTCAAAACTTATTTTTGGTTCAAAACGGATTTTGATGGATTTTGAGTAAAACTAGGGTAGAAATTGGAGATCTTGGGTTCTTTGGACTTGTTTTAGTACCTAGAACCCGGATCTAGTGGTTGTCCTTTGAGATTTTGTGAATTGGGACTGGATTTGCAGGTTTTTGAACTGATTTCTGTGAGTTTTCGTGAACTGACGTTCTCCACCGGTCGACCGCATCGGTTGACCGGATCTTGTTATGGCCACCGGCCGACCGGTCCGGTCGACCGGATGCACACCACCGGCCGACCGGTGGTGATGCACTTCTCTGTCACCGGTCGACCGGTGTACACGGGGTTTTACCCTGTTTGGCCTGAAATTGTTGTTTTAACCCCTGTTTTCGGGGAAAACCCAAATTAGCTTCATTTGGGGACTTGGGATAAAAGGATTAGCATCTTTAATCCTTGTTTGAGATTGAAAACCCTTGGAATTGATTATTGAAACATGAAATTTGATTAGGGCACACTAATAGGAAATCTTGGTATATGAATGAGATTGGATTACTTTAGGACTGAGAATTGATCCTAAAGT